AGGAACTTCGGAAAATGAGATTTTTTGTAACCCCTAAAGAGAAAGCAACTCCGACTACTGTGCGGTGAGGTCTGGGTATGGTACACAGTATCCTTCCTTCCCAAGGGACAGCATCACGAAGAACTAACCAGTTCCCAAAGTAATAGTGCCCCGAGCCACTCCGCCGAATAGGAGCTTTCTGGTAGCACCACGGGCCCCCTCCTCTGTTGCACGGGGCCTTGGTTATAATTTTGCATTTATCGTTATGATTATTTGATGACTACCCATCCCACTGGTCGCGTGCAAGCTTGTGAGAGAGAGAGATGTGTTTCTCGCTGCGGTCCATCCAGGGCACTGCTGCCTCTGCAGCCCACCCCAGGTCTCAGTCACAGGCAGCGTTGCACCCGGACCTGTCAGACACAGGTTCAGGTCCCAGGATTGCCACTTGCTGGCTGTGTGACCTTGGGCCAGTGCTGCCACTTTTCCAAACCTCCTTTCCTTCATCTGCAAGTGGGATTGTAAATCGCTGATCAATGAGAGAAGACCACAGGCTCCAGGGTCCAGCCATACCTGAGTTCAAGTCACAGCGCAGTTACCTAACTAAGCCTCAGTTTCCTCGCCTGTGAAATGGGTCCACTAATCCCCTTCCTCACTCAGAAGGTTAACATGGGAATTTAAGGAGCTGCCGCTGATCACTTTCATTATTAGTATTAACTTCATCATCCAACAGGTGGGCTTTTGGAACCCTGAGTGTGTTCCAGACCCCGCTGATTGCCGTGGGGAGGGTGTAATGGGGCAGAGCGACTGTGCTTGCTGAGCTCATTGCCTTGTGATGTGGACGGGGACTGGCCCGGCACTCCCTGCAGCGCTGACCTCTGACCTCCCCCGCTTTCAGATCTGTGCCATCATCGGCGGGACCTTCACGGTAGCTGGCATTCTGGACTCGTGTATCTTCACAGCCTCGGAGGCCTGGAAGAAGATCCAGCTGGGCAAGATGCACTGACCACCTGCCCGCCCGGCCTCCAGCGCCCCGTCTCCTCCTGCCCTCTGTCTGGCCCAGGATCTGGCTGCATCCCAAAGTGGGGGTGGGGGGAGGTAGCAGGTGGCTCATGGTTCCGCAGCTACCTCTCTTCCCCGTGCTTAACGTCAGACGAATTACGCTGCCTGAAGTTGTGGTGCCCTTTCCCCTGGGGACCCCCAAGACCAGAGTCAGGCCAGGGGTGCTCGGGGATGTTGGGGACCACTCCTGGGAGGGCTGTGGGACCAGCCCAGAATCCCTGTCGACCAGCTCTCAGCCAGGCTTTGACAATCTCTCAGCCCCCACCTCTGGAACGCACCAGTCCCTTGGTTTCCCCCTTGGGCAGCCACCCGCAGACCTGGACTCGGCTCTGGACCCGGCGCCTTCAACAAAGGATGGTACTTCCCAGGCAGGCCCCTGAGATGCGGCGCTGCAGGGGGAGGCCTGGCTTCGGCCGCATCCTCTCCTGCCTGGCCCAGAGCCCAGGCCGCGAGGCCTCACCCCCACGCCTTTCTTTCTCTCCCGAGAAGCAGATGCCCGGTCACGGGGCGGTGGTGGGTCCCCTTCCTCGGTTCACCTTGTCCCTCTGGACCCCCCCACCCACCCCCCACCAATGTGCCTCAGCCCCCTGCTGTGTGACAGCAGCATCTCCAGGCGGAGGGGCTGGTTGTGACTGGGAATCATCCTCCGAGAACCAGACAGGGTTTGTGCACTATGTCAGGCGGGGGCCCCTTTCTCTGCGGCCCTAAAACAATCATGCCTCGGCCTCTCCCAGCGGCTGCCATCAGTCCCAAGGCCTTAGGTGGGGGAAGCAACGCTGACCCACCCCTCCCCCGTCTGGACAGCCACCTCCCGGCTCCCGAGGGGCGCCGGCCCCCGGCCCTCTCTGCAGTCCTCAGTTTAGGCCCCTCGCCACTGAGCTTCCCAGGGGCTGGCCACACACCAGCACGTTCCTGGTCCCTGGGGCGGCTCCATTGTCCCCCCCACTTGCTCCTGAGGTGGGCCCCTACCCCTTCCTCCCCCCTCATCCTTCCCCTTTAGTCCTAAAAGAGAGGCGCAGGGGTCCAGGCGCACATCCACCCGGGAATTTCAGGTATGCCCTGTCCCAGGGAGAGCCACTGGCTTCCCATTTAGATCAAGATTGTTTGCATACTTTTGTAATTAAGGGGCGTGCCGGGGAAGGAGTTGTAACTTATCTGTCTAGATAGCTCGAGTCTCTGCCATTGGTAATTGTTGGCTCCGGATTCCAGTAGGACAGCTTCCCCGCTTGCATATGTGTTGACTGATGTGCATTTGGTTATTTCTGGAATCTCTGGCCACTTGGATGGATTTTTTTTTTTTACATTCTGTTCCCCAGTGACAAAAAGAGTCCCTTTAGAGGGTGGGCGGGTAGGGCGAGGAAATGTGTGGGGTGCACAGGCCTCGAAATTCCACTTCGATGCATTTAAAGAAACAAAACTCTTGAGGACGTAGGGGATGTCAGGTTCCTATGGAAGACACACCTCAGACCCATTATTATAAACAGACATCTCAAGGGGGGAAAATGTGTCCGTTCTTTCCCCACTCATTGGGTTCAAATAGATTAAAGGGCTGATTTTCAGAAGTGTTGCTGTGTGTTTCTTTCTACTTGACTGGCTGGCAGCCTGGGGGCTCGGTCCCAGGAGGGAATTTAAATCCATAGGAGAGGAATTGGGAAATTCGGAAAAGATCTGCGAGGATGATCAGAAGTCACCCTCCGGACCCAGCGCTTCCTGTATGGAGTCCCTCCAGGACGTTCCCAGAATGCCGTAGCCTCCTTCCCCTGCCAGTGCCTCAGTTTGCCCAGGTGGAAATGGGGCTAACAGTGACACAACCTCGGGGGACTGTGGCAGAAATTAAATCTGCAGTATGTGCACGTCAGTTATCCTGGGTCGGAACCAGCTCATGTATGCGGGCAAGTGGTACCCGGTGGCTTTTCAAAAACGCCGAGGGTGCATAAAGGAAGGCGGTTCATACGTTCTCGATTTCCAAGGACCTGGCATTCCCAGTTCAACCTTCAGCTCAGCAAAGGGAGACCATCATCAGCTCTGACAAAGGGACTGACGTAATGGCTGTGTGCCATCCTGCTGGCCAGCCCTCAGGGTCTCCGCTGGGACAGCAGGAACGTGGACAAACACATCAGGGCCACACATCAATTTTTGGTTCTTGCCAGAAACAGACACATTTTGTCGATGTGGTGGGTCACCGGTGACCCCATCCCTTCTGAAGAAACTGGCCCGAGCAGCTCCAGCCTCCACGCGGCAGGAGGTCCGGGGTGGGAGGGGACTGTAAGGAGGGCTACGTTCTCGTTCACTCAGACCTTGTTCCCTCCCCAGCAGTTGCCTTCTGTCAGCTTCATAGTGATGAGGTCACGCACTTCATTCTGACCCAAATAAAGTTTTATTGTAACTCTTGTTACTGGAGGTTGGGAGTCCGCCACGGGCCAGACAAGCGGTGGTTGTTCAGGCCTCGCCTGTCCTCACCCTCACGGCAGTCCTATGAGGGTGATAGGCCTTTTTAGGGAGGACAGCACAGAGAGGTAGCCACTGCCTCTCCGGCCACACAGCTGGCAGGGGCTGCGGTGGGAACGCACACCCACGTCCTCCTGAGTCCAGGCTGACGAAGAATTGCATGGCTCCACCTCAGGTCCCCAAGAGCCGATCTGTGTCAAAAGCGAAAAATGCCCCCCACCCCCACCCCCCAAAAAAGGGAATATTGAAAGTAGTGAGGGTACTTTTGTTTTTGTTTTTTTTTCCTTCCTGCAGAGGAAAGCTAAATTGAGCACTGAGGATTTCCTTAAACAAAAATTTAAAACATGAGTTTAATGACACAAGTAAGACATGTTCATAGCCCCGTTGGAGGAAAATCAGAAAAGAGCAAAAAGTTATAAAGGGGACACAAAGGTCACCCCTAATCCCAGTAATCAGAGGTCATCACTGTCAGCATTTTAACGATATTCTTCCATAAACAACACGGGGTCGTGCTGTTGATACTATTTTGTAGTTTGCTTTTTCCTCACTTAGTAGGCACCTTTCTATGTGAGTAAGGATAGATCTCATCATCTTTATTGGCTGCCATATTGAATACATATGCCGGGTCATGTTCACCCACCACTCCTATCTCATTCAGAACCGGCTTTCTCCCCTGTAAAAGGGACAGCTCAGAGGGTTGTTTACAGATGAAATAAGGGAATGTCTGTAAAGCTGTTAGCACAACACCTGACAGTAAATGCTCAGCCTAATAAAACTAGCCTGTACTATTCATTCATCTCATAAACAGTAATTTCTATCAGTATTAAGTGCTAACTTTGTGCTAAGCATTGTGCTAAGGGTTTGTTTCATCCTGACACCTAACCAATGAGGTAAATACTATCAATAGTCCCATTTCTCAGATGGGGAAAGTGAGTGGCCAAGTGTCCCGGTTGGCCTTTCTGGAGGCGTTTGGAGGTTATAAAACAAAGAGACACCACACCCGAGCTCCCCCAGCGTGGTGCACCGCATGTGTTTACATCAAACACAGAAAACTTACGGTTTGCGTCATCTAGAGTTAATGGGGGAAGTCTGAATTCGAGGCCCGGTTTGGGACTTTCTGGGAGATTAGGAATATTGATGGCTGTAATTGAGCGCTGTGTGCCAGACACTGCCCTAAACACTATAAACGAATTAACTCATTTAGTCCTCATAATAACTCCACGAGGCACTTGCTAAGATCATTCCCATTTCACAGATGAGGAAACTGAGGCTCAGAAACATGGAGGCGGCTCCCCAAGGGCCAGCAACATGAAGAGGCACTTGGGTCAAGGTCTGACTGTTACAACCTCAGCTCTTCCGAACAAAGCTAAAAAATCGGGGGGAAGTTTTGCAAAGCCAGGTGGTTGGTTAGCCACGATCCTCAAACATCTGGTGGGGGGAGTGCTTGCTTTAAATTCAGATTCCCTGACCCCCAACCTACAACTGTCTGGTTTTGCCGGACTGTGGTGGAGCATGAAAGTCTGCATTGTGAACAGGCTTCTCGATGATTTTAAGAAGCAAGTCAGCAGATGGCATTTGAAGCATCATGACATTAAAAACACCCCAAAAATATGCCTAGACAACTTCTGCAAAGAAAGCGTTTGGGGTAAGAAAAAGACTATTGACCGTGTACCTGTTAAAAGAACATCAAGCCCAACTGGCATGGCTCTGTGGTTGAGCTTCAACCTATCAACCAATAAAAAAATATATATTTAAAAATAAATCAAAGGACATCAATAAGCCTACATTGCAGGTCCTACAAAAATAGGCCCCTCCTCCCCAGAGGTGCCATCCTTCCCAGTTCCCTGCAGGGCCGCTTACCCATCGGGGGTCCCTGGAAACGAGGTACTGCGGTTCCACCCCAATCCGCATGGGGCGCCATTCAGCTTCATTTCGAGGGAATGGGGCCCCGCTTTTCTTTTCTGCGCTTGCGCGGCCGGGAAGCCTCACTTCCTGTCCGGCGAGCGTACCATCCGAGCACTTCCGGCGCCAGGTAGGTGAGTAGAGGCTGGTGTTTTCTCTCGGACTGTGAAGCAGTCCGCCCAGTAGGACCCCGGGACTGCCCGCCTCCCCCCCAAGATCCCTCTGCGGTTCCCCAACCGCGCATTCCTTCCTGTCCCTCCCCTCCCCGCTCCGGGCAGCCTCCGGCGCCAGTGCCTCCTCTCCCACGACCCCTCCCATCAGGCTTGCACGCCCCACCATGCCCCGCTTAGTTTTTAAACAATGTTTTGATTGATTTCAGAGAGGAAGGGAGAGGGAGAGAGAAATGGAAACATCCATGATGAGGATCATGGATCGGCTGCCTCCTGCACGCCCCCCACTGGGGATCGAGCATCGAACCTGACCTTCCATTCCTCCGCCGCGCTCTTTGCAGACGGTCACCATGAAGTGCAACCCCTTCGTGACCTCGGACCGCAGCAAAAACCGCAAACGCCACTTCAACGCCCCCTCGCACGTGCGCCGCAAGATCATGTCCTCCCCGCTCTCCAAGGAGCTGCGGCAGAAGTACAGCGTCCGCTCCATGCCCATCCGCAAGGACGACGAGGTCCAGGTTCTGCCCCCTCGGGCTCTCGGGACCCAGATGCGTCGCACGCCTTGGCCTGAACGCGCCCTGTGTGCTTGGACGTGAGGGAGGCATAGCCTTCGCTTGCCCTCGGCACCCCGGCAAGTGCTGGGACCCCGCCAAGGTGTTAGACCGGAGATGGGGGCCCAGAGCCACCGGAGAGCACCCGCCCCGCCTAGTTAACAGCATTCAGGTTCAATTCTCTATTAAGAATTTATTTTTTAAAAGAGTGTGTCGGCCAAGCAAGCTGTTTTTTTATTAGCCCCCTGGCTGCTAGTTTGCCAGGCGTTGCTCAGGGTGGCTTTTGCACCAGGCTCTGCAGGAGATCACTCCCAGGCCTTCGTTGCGGACCCAGTCGGCCCTCTTGCTGCTAATGGAATTTTTCCCTAGAGTGTATGTCTCCAGGTGCCAACTATTCAGCATGTTTTCTCCTAAAATCTATCTCCTCCCCCGTGCTCCGTGTCTCTGGGGAAGAAGGGCATAGCCATCATCCATCCAGTTGCCCAGCCAGACTCTGGGTGCCAACCTCACCTCTTCCTCACCTTTTCAGCCACGCCCACCTCACTGGGTGAAGCGTTGGTCTGCTTCTCTTTACCCAGCTGTCCCTTCCGGACTGGCTTTATCAGCACCTTCAGCCTTGATCGTGTTCATAGGGGCTTCTTCCCAGCCCTCCATGGGAGAGTCTCTGATCGTACCGAGTGCGGTAGGCTTTCAGTGAAGCAAGGCTGTTCTCTTTCCAGCCTGAGCCTCGCCTTGGTAGACAACCTGGAGTATTGAGATTCTCCAGTTCTTTTCTTTTTTTTTAAATTTATTTATTGTTGAAAGTATTACATGAGTCTCCTTTTCCCCCCACTGACCCTTCCCCGCCGCTCCCACCCGCCAGCACATGCCTTCACCCCCCTACTGTCTATGTCCATTGGTCATGCTCATATGCATGCATACAAGTCCTTTGGTTGATCTCTTACCCCTTCACCCCCCGCCTTCCCTCATAGGTTGGACAGTCTGTTGGATGCTTCTCTGTCTCTGGTTCTATTTTTGTTCATCAGTTTATGTTGTTGATTATATTCCACAAATGAGATCGTGTGATATTTATCTTTCTCTGACTGGCTTATTCACTTAGCATAATGCTGTCCAGGTCCATCCATGCTGTTGCAAATGGTAGGAGTTCCTCCTTTTTTACAGCAGCATAGTTTTCCATTGTGTAGATGTACCTCTCCAGTTCTTTATATGAGGTATTTCCTCTATGCTTATTAATGAATATCACCTATATTGTTGCTAATGTTAAATAGGCTCTTGCTTTCAGGGAAACAATAATCTGGTTTATTTTTTATTCCTTTATTTTTTGGGTTGATTTTTTAATAGAGTTGGGAGTGTGAGCAGTTTTTCAGTATACAAAAATAGCCCACAAGATTTCAATTTAACATTAAAATTGTCTTGACTATAAAGTATTTGTATTAATTGTAGAAATCTTAAAATTTGGAAGAATTTAAAATTTAAAAATAGTCATCTGTAATTCTACTTCCTGTCTACTGGCAGCCATTATGGTTATTTGGATACATTTCAATCTCATCATTTATGCACTATATATATGAAACATATACATACAAGATTCAGATTCAGACTATATTCTATATATATAGCTTTGTATTCTCTTTTTTTCTCGAAAGCATTTTCCTAGGTCATAAATTATGTTTTGAAAACAGATTTTAAATGGTTGCATGAGTCTCAGTATATCTTTAACCGTTCTTTGTTTAGGACGTCAGAGTGATTGTATTTTTTATATAGCTGATATATAACATTGTATTGGTCTTAGGTATACGGTGATTATATCTTTTACTCTAAGGATTAGTTCTGTGATGGCCATTTAAATTCAAGGAATTTTTTGTTCTTCAGATATGAAAAGAAAAAAATTCAGGTAGAGAAATTCCACCTGACTTAGAATAACACAAAGCAGATTTATACCGAAAAAAAGCTGACTTTTGACTGCCCGGATTCATCTGTTTTGTATGAAGTATGTTAGCCTGTGTGTTCCTGATAGTGTCCTCACTAATGTCCATGCATTGGAAATGGGGGGTCTCTTTTGTATTTCCTCTCAGGTGGTTCGAGGACACTACAAAGGTCAGCAAATCGGCAAGGTGGTCCAGGTGTACAGGAAGAAGTATGTCATCTACATCGAGCGGGTGCAGCGTGAGAAGGCCAACGGCACCACTGTCCACGTGGGCATTCACCCCAGCAAGGTAGGCCCGGGACTGGGCGGCGGTGGTCACAGCATGTGTAGCTGTCAGAGTTGTTGACGTGTTGGTGCCGTTTACACAGGTGACCCTGGCAGGGACCTCCTGGGGGAGGTCAGGAGGGCTTGATAGAGTCATTCCAGACCTCACTTCCCCACTAGATCATGTGCAGAGGAGAAGAGAGCATTCCCCGTGGCCCTCACTCACCCTGTGGGATATGATGTTCCTCCTTTGCACTCCCACTTTATACACTGAATTGCAGGGTCTCTCCCCAGGTTCAGATCCTTAGGGCAGACTGGTCGGGCTCATACCTTGTAATCTCTGTATTGCACAGTAGCTGGCAGGGGAATGCAATGTTTCTTAATGCATTTGCCAGCCAAGGGAGGCTAGACAAACCAGAAAGATGCTGGTCGTGTAATTTTTCCCAGCCCGAACGACATTTCCTATCCTAGTCCTCAGGCATTAGAGGGGCAGGAGGTCAGGTGCCAGAAAGAACCTAAGCTGCTATTGTTGAGGGGACCGCTCTGTACAAACTAATCGTGGTTATAAACCTTCACACTTAAAAAACAAAGATTTGTTTGTTTTCTCACTCCTAAAAGGTGGTTATCACCAGGCTAAAACTGGACAAAGATCGGAAAAAAATTCTTGAACGCAAAGCCAAATCTCGACAAGTTGGAAAAGAGAAAGGCAAATATAAGGAAGAACTTATTGAGAAAATGCAGGAATAAACGTAACCTGTTGTGCAACCACGGTTTTAGCTGTAGGTTTTTAGCCTGGTGTGTATTCCTTTAAAGTTGTTCAAGATGTCTCTGGAATATTTTGTTTCCTTCCTGGTTTGTTATTGATATGTGGCTCTGTATGTTTGTTGTTGCTGTTTGGGTTAATTTTATGAATAAAAATTGGAACTGTTTTTTAATTCAAGTAGACTTTGCGTTGTTTTATAGATAAAGTCCATCTCACTCTCAGTTCCCAGTTGCTATCCTTTCATATGTTTAATCTGTGGAGCAGCAGAACAGCAGTGGTGGGATGGCCCTGCTCCTGCCTGGACCCTCACACTGATGGGGTGGACAGGATAGGGCTGCTGCCTGGTGCAGGGGTTCGTTCCACTCAGTGGCCGTCAGGATGTGAACTGAGATACACGGCCCCAGTGAGCAGCTGGCGTCTAGGGCCTGACGGATTGCCCTGTAGCTCCTCTCCCTCATGCTCCCACCAAACCAAATGGCCTGCAGCTCCCTAGCCAGGCTGCCCGCCCTAGGTCTAGGTCTTGACTTTGCAAGTGCCATTTCCATGTTACTAAAATGTCCCTCCTCTCTCCCAGGGCTAACTCAGAAAATAGATGGCCTGTAGGCGAGGACCAGCGCACAGATAGATGTTGTTTGCCCTGTTGCTTTTCATGATTTTTAAAAATTCTAACATTTAAAGCTTAAGAGACCCATAGAGAAACCTAGGTCTTGTGCTTCCTCTGGCCGCACGGGGCCCGGATGCTGCCCAGCATCAGCTGTGGAGCCAGGGGCTGGCTGCTCCCTTTCCAGCTCACTCCACTCATGCCCCTGAGTGCCTGGCCCCCACTGGCATCTGAGTTTCAGATTCTGCATCTAACTTAAAATTATTCTTCAAATTTAGCTCCAGGGTCACGGCTGAAATCCTGCCTTTCCCCTGTGATAAATGATCTGTTTATTAAAATGCATCAGTTGAGATAGGGGAATTGTGGATTAGAATGTATCCATAATTTACACAGCATGTGAAATAGAGAAGGTGCCCCACACAGCAGCTATGTTATTAGCATGCTGAGCTATATGTCTAGTCAGGATAATGAGTAGGTCAACCAGTAAGGTCTGTAATTTGTTTGTATTTGAGATTTGTCTTTATTCTCTTATTTAATTAATGTTTTTTTATTGATTTCGGAGAAGGGAGAGAGAGAAACATTAATGATGAGAATTATTGATTGGCTGCCTCCTGCACACCCCCCACACTGGGGACCGAGCCCACAATCCGGGCATGTGCCCTGCCTGGGAATTGAACCGTGACCTGGTTCATTGGTCGATGCTCAACCACCAAGCCACGCCGGCCGGGCTGTCTTTATTCTCAACCAACGTGTTGTAGAACCCCAAAAGTTGCATGAAAATCATATTTCATACTAGATTAGGTTTAAGGATGACATTCTTTTTTCTTTTTTTAATTGATTTTAGAGAGAAAGAAGGAAGGGAGAGAAACATTGATTTGTTGTTCCACTTATTTATGCATTCACTGAGTCTTGTATGTGCCCTGACTAGGGATCAAGCTCATAGTCTTGGCATATCAGAATGACGCTCTAACCAACTGAGCTACCCGGCTAGGGCATGACAACATATTCTGATGCCTGATCTGAGCCCTAGGCTGCAGCCAATACTGATAAAATTGTATTTTCTAGTAGTCAGACTTGGCTTGTTTTCAGCAACTTGTTCAATACAAGTGATATAGATAAGAGCTTGAGAGCTTATTTCTTGAGATACTACATGTAAAGCACAGAATTGAGCAAACTTTAGCTACTGTCTTAAAGGAGAATGGAAGTGGGTTTGTTTACAGGTGCAGAGGGAAAAGTTTTTCTCAAGGAAGTTCAGACAAATGCTGGTTCTTGAGTGAAGGGGCGGGTTTGAGGGTAGCGGTATTGTGTTTTGGCTGCAGGAATGGGGACTGGAGAATGCCAGCTGGGTGGGCCTGCCTGTCAAGGTTCAGGCCCTGGGCTATTAGCATGTTTTCTGGAATGACTGGATTAAGCAGTTTCCTACTGACCTTTTCATCAAATTTGCACATGTCCATTCACTTGAGTGAGTCCCCTTGTGCTATTTTGGGAAGACTCCAAACTTTGAAACTTCAGACAGACACTCCTGAATGCCTGCTTTCATACTGCGCTCAGGCACGAGATGTTCAGCCACAGAGCTGCCCGTGGGAGCCGGGGAGGCACGAACTGAATCCTCTGACCAGACAGAACTCTACTGACCGAGAGTCCGCCGGGCTCTGCCAGTGCTGCAGACGTCGAGCTGTTCCCATCTGGTGGTAGCTTGGGTCGTTGTTCATTGTCCTTTTAGTATTTTTTTAAAAAAGAATACTTATATATGGTACAACATCAAAAGGTACAACAGGCATACAGTGAAAAGTAAGCTTCCTGGTCACTTTGACTCTCAGGCACTCAGTTCTCCCCAGGAGGAGCCACTGTTTCCAGTTTCTTTTGTATCCTCCCAGAGGTAGCCTATGCGTACACAATGGGTGTTTACTGAAAGTCGGATCCAGGAAGAAGTCTTCCGAGAAAGGTAGGCCATCCAGATTGAAACAGCCGTGTGAGGTTTATTGCCTGAACGCCTTAATTAAAATGGAAATGTGCAGCCCTGGCCAGTGTGGCTCAGTTGGTTGAAGCATCATCCTGTTCGCCAAAAGGTGGCAGTTTTGATTCCTGGTCAGGGCACATGTAGCTTTGATCCCTGGTCCAGGAGCATGTGCAGGGCTCGGGGGTAGGGGCAGCTAATCTGTAGTTCTCAAATCAATTCACATCGATGTTTCTCTCTTCCTCTCACAAATATTAAATAAAATATTCTTTGTCCGTTAGAAATAATAGAGTCAAGCACATCCTAAATCTGGAACAGGTTTCAGAGGTCTCATCTTATGCAATAGAAGTCTCTATCTTGTTAAGAAGTGAGTACTGCCCTAACCGGTTTGACTCAGTGGATAGAGCGTCATCCTGTGGACTGAAGGGTCCCAGGTTCGATTCCAGTCAAGGGCATGTACCTTGGTTGCAGGCACATCCCCAGTTGGGGGTGTGCAGGAGGCAGCTGATCGATGTTTCTCATCAATGTTTCTAACTCTATCCCTCTCCCTTCCTCTCTGTGAAAAATCAATAAAATATATATTAAAAAAAAGAAGTGTGTACTTTAGGGGATTTTGCTGACTTACTGTTTGAACTGGGAGAGGCAGCATGGCTTAGTGGGAAGAACAGGAGCTATGAAGGCTCACATTCAGATCCCAGTCTTGCCCCTTAAAACAGCCACCCTTTGGGCAAGTTACAATACGAGTCTCTTTCCCCTACTATGTAAAATGGACTTAATAATCTCAGTGTTAGGTGTTGTGAGCACTGAATGAGGCAGGTCATTCAAAGCACCTAGGTCAGTGGCACATGGGTGTCACTCACATGGTAGATACTGTAATCATTGGTGGCTGCCCACAGCACGTGCTCCATTCATATGTGCTGAGCAAATGAGAAGTGAAGCATGCTGGGCATTCAGCTTCTCCCGTAACTTCGGGCCTCCAGGTCAGCTTAGGAGGAGCCTGATGACTCCGTGGCCTTGTGACTCCGCGGGCCAGGTTTGATTTACGGGGCTGGGCTTGGGGAAGGGGCTCCTCGGGGGTCGCCCTATAGCCTTTCGAGCAGCTCTTTTAATTACTTTATTTCACTGGGCTGCCTCGGAGGCTTTTCCTCTACGAGTGGTTCTCACACTTTTGGGTCTCAACACCTATTTCCACATTTATATGGGTTCCATCAATCACATGATTTACCACATTAGAAAGTAAAACAAAATCTTGACCTTTAAATCCATTTAAAAATAATTTTTAAATGTAATAAACCCAAAGCATGTTAACAGGACTAACATTTTTATATAAAGTAACATCTTTTCCAAAATAAAATGAAAAGAAAGTGTCGAGAAGAGTGACATGGTGTTAACATTGTTGCAGAATTCCTTGATGTCTGACCAGCGGACTCCTACAGTGCTTCTGCGTTCAATCTGCCAAAAGATGTTTTGGGCGAAGCACAGGAAGGAAATTCTGCATCACAGATTCATGGTTGGGAAGAGAGGCCCTCGGGGCGCTGGGAGAGTCCCAGGGGCTGCCCAGGGTCCTGGTGCACACCGCCCAGAGTCTGGCTTATTTCCTGAAGGTGACTTTAAACCCCTTGAAGGCAGATGCTATTTCTGCATTCGGGGGATCACTAAATCCCAGCTGGCTTTCCCTAGTTTGCCTTTGGGCAGTGTGATAAAGTGTTTTTGACAGATTCACTGGTAGAGGGAGCTATTGGCCAATACTAGATCACACATATAATGCCGAGATTTAGAATTTCCCTCATTTCACAGAGGATAAAACAGGCAGAACTGGTGTCTGACAGTCACTTCCCTGTGCTCCTCGACATCTGCTTCTCAAAAAGCCTGCCAAAAAGGAAGACAAAGTTAGACTTAACGAGATCAACTTAAAAAAAATTTTTGCATTGATTTAAGAAACAGGAAAAAATTCGAAATAGTCAAAAAGTGAAAGCAACACAAACATCCATTGACAGTGAGTGGAGAAACAAAGTATGGCCTATACATAACAGTGGAATCTTCCTCATCATTGCGACCTGTGCTACCAATGGCTGCAACTTCAGGACCTTATGCTAAGTGTATTAAGCCAGATGTGTATTAAACAAATGCTGTATGATTCTACTTATATCAGGTATCTAGAGGAGTCAAACTTATAGAAACAAAAATTAGAATAGTGGTTCCCAGGGCTTGGGGAGGGGGAATGAGGCATTGTTTAATGGGTATGAAACGTTCTGCAGATTGTCTGCACAACAATGTGGATATACTTAACACTACTGAACTGTACACTTAAAAATGGTTAAGCCCTAACCGGTTTGGCTCAGTGGATAGAGTGTTGGCCTGCAGACTGAAAGGTCCCAGGTTCGATTCTGGTCAAGGGCATGTACCATGGTTGCGGGTACATCCCCAGTAGGGGGTGTGCAGGCGGCAGCTGATCAATGTTTCTCTCTCATCGATGTTTCTAACTCTCTGTCCCTCTCCCTTCCTCTCTGTAAAAAATCAATAAAATATATTTTTAAATGGTTAAGACAGTAAATTTTATGTTACATATATTTTACCACAATTAAAAATAAATTTAGAGATTTGGCTTGGGGTGGTGAACACATAATATACAGTTGATGTGTTATAGAATTGTACAAGAATTG